TTCGAGAAAGTCTCAAAGTGTAATAAACCCTATGTGAAAACTTGACCTGTATAAGTTTATCCCTGGAGGAAATAACCAACTTGGGACCCTGTTCCAAAGTCTCTGCCCAGTCCTTCTCATCCAAGGAAGGGCCTATATTTATGACATAGCTTGTGTCAGCCCTGGATTGTATCATAAGTTCTATGTCCCTGGTAAGGAATGTTATGTAGATCAGCTAGGGATCCTAAGCAGGCAGCTTCTAAACAGGCAGCAGCATTTGACCTAAAGCACCCAAACCACCAATATACCGACACCAGCATCACCACCCAATAGTATGAATGAAAGTTCGGGAGGGCCAGACCCCCATAGTCGAAGGGAGTTCCTATGTAGATTTTGCAAGGTGGGGAAGGGCACCTCTCCTGATAAAGGGGGTCACACAGGAATCTACTTCCTTAAAAAAGGATCTAGGGATCCAAATGGGTAGTTATGAAAGATATAGTTGAACTTAGGCAGGATCATCATCTTTAATAAATGAATAGGTCCTATTAAATTTAAAGGAAGAGCTGACCAATTCTGACACTGCTCTCGTACGAGGGATTGGAGGGGAAGGAGGTTGCAGCCAAAAAAATGGTTCTCATCCCTGGTTAACTGGACTCCCAGATATCGGAATTCCTCTACCCAGGAGCCAAAAAGGAGGAGACACCGTTCAGGTGAGCAGAAAAGCACAAACCCAAGGAGCCAATCCCGTAGAATAGATGACGGCCCTGCTCACCACCATGTCAACTGTAGAATGAATAGGATGGCCACACCCTATGCAGGGATATCCATATAAATATCCTTTTAGAAGTAAATCTGTACATTAAAAATGTGTGTCCACAAAACACAGGAGGTCACAGGATTTCAGGGAAACAGGTTGTCGACAGTGTCAATCCCATGCAATAGGAAGAGATATATAAGCTAGTGGTTACAATCCCTAAGTGTGGTGACTGTATTAGTTTTTCATTTTTAGGCTTTTTTTTCCTTCTGACCAGTAACACACTTTATGTCTTTGGGTAGTTATTACTCCATTATTTTCCATAGAGTGGAACCACCTAAAGACAGAAAGTGTGTTACTGGGCAGAAGGAAAACAGCCTAAAAATGAAATTATACAGCCACCACACTTATAGATTGTAACTACTAGATTATAAATCTCTTACTATTGCATGGGATTTACACTGCTGAGTAGTATAGCTGATGTGGAGGAAGAGATTTGAGAAGGAGAAAGTTGCATTACAGATGTGTTTGCTTATCAATATCAGATAATCCATACATTCTGATTAGAGATGAGCGAATTATTAAAAAATTCGATTCAGCCGATTCGCCGAATTTGCGGGAGAAATTCGATTTGATGCGAATTTATTCGCTGCGAATTTAACTTATTAAAAGGGTTTCTAGGCTTCAGAGAGCCTTTATATTAGTGCAGAACACTGTACCTTTAATTTAAATGCCCTTGGAGTCTGCTGGGGAAGAGAAATAATACTGTCAGTCAGTATGACATGCAGATGAGTGCCATCGATCTTAGAATCACCGCACACTTCACTCATTTGGGCAGTCACGGGGCACGACGAAGAAGAAGAAGAAGAAGTAGAAGAAATGAAAATGAAAAGAAGAAGAAGAAGAAGAAGAATGAAAAGAAGAATGAAAAGAAGAAGAAGAAGAATAAAAAGAAGAAGAAGAAGAATGAAAAGAAGAAGAAGAATTAAAAGAAGAAGAAGAAGAAGAATGAAAAGAAGAATGAAAAGAAGAAGAATGAAAAGAAGAAGAAGAAGAATGAAAAGAAGAATGAAAAGAAGAAGAAGAAGAATGAAAAGAAGAAGAAGAAGAAGAAGAATGAAAAGAAGAAGAAGAAGAATGAAAAGAAGAATGAAAAGAAGAAGAAGAAGAATGAAAAGAAGAAGAAGAAGAATGAAAAGAAGAATGAAAAGAAGAAGAAGAAGAATGAAAAGAAGAAGAATGAAAAGAAGAATGAAAAGAATAAAAATGAAAAGAAGAAGAAGAAGAATGAAAAGAAGAAGAAGAAGAAAAGAATGAAAAGAAGAATGAAAAGAAGAAGAATGAAAAGAAGAAGAAGAATGAAAAGAAGAATGAAAAGAAGAAGAAGAAGAATGAAAGAAAAGAAGAAGAAGAAGAATGAAAAGAAGAATGAGAAGAATGAAAAGAAGAATGAGAAGAAGAATGAAAAGAATGAAAAGAAGAATGAGAAGAATGAAAAGAAGAATGAAAAGCAGAAGAAGAAGAATGAAAAGAAGAAGAAGAAGAATGAAAAGAAGAATGAAAAGAAGAAGAAGAAGAATGAAAAGAAGAATGAAAAGAAGAAGAATGAAAAGAAGAATGAAAAGAAGAAGAAGAAGAATGAAAAGAAGAAGAAGAATGAAAAGAAGAATGAAAAGAAGAAGAAGAAGAATGAAAAGAAGAAGAAAAATGAAAAGAAGAAGAAAAAGAATGAAAAGAAGAATGAGAAGAAGAATGAAAAGAAGAATGAAAAGAAGAATGAGAAGAATGAAAAGAAGAATGAAAAGAAGAAGAAGAAGAATGAAAAGAAGAAGAAGAAGAATGAAAAGAAGAAGAAGAAAAATGAAAAGAAGAATGAAAAGAAGAAGAAGAAGAATGAAAAGAAGAAGAAGAAGAATGAAAAGAAGAAGAAGAATGAAAAGAAGAATGAAAAGAAGAAGAAGAAGAATGAAAAGAAGAAGAAGAAGAATGAAAAGAAGAAGAAGAAGAAGAATGAAAAGAAGAAGAAGAATGAAAAGAAGAAGAATTCCAGTACAGCAAAAAGTGTATCTGCAGAGAGCTCCGCTGTTTCTGACAGTTCTCTGACAGTTCCTTCACATTTACAGCGGTTGAAACATTGTATCTATTTATTTCCGAATAAAAACATCTGTATCCTAAATGGAAACAAATAGATACAATGTTTCAACCGCTGTAAATGAACTGTCAGAACTGTCAGAGAACTGTCAGAAATAGCGGAGCTCTCTGCAGTGACACTTTTTGCCGGCTGATCGGGGAAAATTCGATTCGTGCACCCGAAGTTTGCTAAAATTCGGATTCGGTGCGAATCGAATTTTTCCTAATTCCACTTCGCCAAGTTCGATTCGCTCATCTCTAATTCTGATAAGTGCTGGTGTATAGGGGGAGGTGTTTACAAACGCAAGGAGTTGTGGAATAGAGCCTACATATACACATTGAAGATTCTTTCCATCATGTGGTGTTGGAGGATGGACTTTTTGCACTAGGAATGGTGGATTTTAATGGACATTTGTTACATGTACATAATTTTTTTTTTTTCCTTTGTCATTGGTTTGTGATAGACTTTAGAACTTTGATGATTCACTCAGCTGCCCTGCTAATTATGTAACGGTTAATATACTTTAATATAAAATATACTTTAATAATTATACTTTCCATAGTTTTAATTTAATTGTACCTCCTCCCCTAGCACCCCCCTCCCAAGGAAAAAACAAAGAAAAAACTGGTCACCTACCCAGGTCTATAACTGGCTTTTTAAAACAGTGAACATGGAAGGCATCACAAAGTAAAAAATAGGACTATCCAGTTCAACTTGCCAGCCTACCCTAGTCTAATAATGGCTATTGTCGGCAAGGAACATGGATAAGTATAACTTATCAAAAGAGGGGGATAAGAAAGCCAGTTCAAACTGCCAGCCAGTTAGCCAACTATCAAAAACCAAATTAACCTGTCTAAGAACATGCGTTTAAAAACAGGGGTTTAGTCAGCACACATTTGCAAATACGTACGTAAGCCATAGAGCCACATCAGAGCCACCACCCTCCCAAGGACCTATATATATATTTGCATGCTACTGCCAGACCACAATAGATGGCCTTTGCATGGGAATGAATAGATTTTTTGGGCATGTGCAGAAGAAGCAAGAGACCAGCTGGGAGAGTTTGCAGTGGCTCTCCAAGGGCATTACTGCGTGGATTTAAAAGTATTGTGGTTTAGATGAGTAGAAGACTTTGGGTGGATGCTGGGTGGTTGGTTACTTAAATAATATTTAAATGGAGTAATTGTTATCCTTTAGCTATTTTAAATTAATTTAACTTCACTCCAAATTTCTCCCCTGTTCACACTACAAGAAAAGCCTCCTCCAAAGTGCTAATGTTTTCATATGGTAGCCCATGGACTTCACGCCTAGCCTTGCTTATTTATCTGTTTGTAACAGCAGGCTCAAGAGCAAATGACACAAACAACTAATTGAGTCAGTTGAGTGCTTTATCCACTCCATCCTTCTCATCCTGCGTGTTCAACTGTGTTAAACATTTTAGCTGTATACTATCAAACCAAACAGCTTCTGCAGCATTTTATTTTTAGAAAACCCACAATGCTTTGGGACACCAATGACCTCTGTGCAGCTTCTATGATATGTTTTATGTTCAAAATAATACATAAATGGTAAAAACTATTTAAAACATTATTATCATAAATAGAGATGAGCGAAGTATTCAAAAATTCGATTCAGCTGATTCGACGAATTCGCGGAATAAATTTGATTCGAGTCGAATATATTCGCTGCGAATTTAACTTATAAAAAGGGTGTTTCTAGGCTTCAGAGAGCCTTTATATTAGTGCAGAACACTGTACCTTTAATTTAAATGCCCTTGGAGTCTGCTGGGGAAGAGAAATAATACTGTCAGTCAGTATGACATGCAGATGAGTGCCGTCGATCTTAGAATCACCGCACACTTCACTCATTTGGGCAGTCACGGGGCCAAAACCAGAGTGTGGAGCCACAGTGTGGAGCCACAGTGTGGCGGTGGAGGCAGCAGCAATGGGAGGCCATACAGCACCCTATGAAAAAATGGAACCCACCAGCAGTGTGAGGAGACCTGAAAGTGGTACATGGCAGAGTGTGGCGATGGAGACAGCAGCAATGGGAGGCCGTACAGGGACCCATGACACACTCTGGACCTGGCAGCAGCATGAGGAGGCGGTACAGGGGCCCATGACAGATTACGGGCCTGGCAGCAGCATGAGGAGTCGGTACGGGGGCCCATGGCAGATTACGGGCCTGGCAGCAGCAATGGGAGGCCGTACAGGGACCCATGACACACTCTGGACCTGGCAGCAGCATGAGGAGGCGGTACAGGGGCCCATGACAGATTACGGGCCTGGCAGCAGCATGAGGAGTCGGTACGGGGGCCCATGGCAGATTACGGGCCTGGCAGCAGCAATGGGAAGCCATACAGGGACCCATGACACACTCTGGACCTGGCAGCAGCATGAGGAGGCGGTACAGGGGCCCATGACAGATTACGGGCCTGGCAGCAGCATGAGGAGTCGGTACGGGGGCCCATGGCAGATTACGGGCCTGGCAGCAGCAATGGGAGGCCGTACAGGGACCCATGACACACTCTGGACCTGGCAGCAGCATGAGGAGGCGGTACAGGGGCCCATGACAGATTACGGGCCTGGCAGCAGCATGAGGAGTCGGTACGGGGGCCCATGGCAGATTACGGGCCTGGCAGCAGCAATGGGAGGCCCGTAATCTGCCAGCACCCTATGACAAAATGGAACCCACCAGCAGTGTGAGGAGACCTGAAAGTGGCACATGGCAGAGTGTGGCGATGGAGACAGCAGCAATGGGAGGCCGTACAGGGACCCATGACACACTCTGGACCTGGCAGCAGCAAGAGGAGGCAGTACAGGGGCCCATGACAGATTACGGGCCTGGCAGCAGCATGAGGAGTCGGTACGGGGGCCCATGGCAGATTACGGGCCTGGCAGCAGCAATGGGAGTCCGTACAGGGACCCATGACACACTCTGGACCTGGCAGCAGCATGAGGAGGCGGTACAGGGGCCCATGACAGATTACGGGCCTGGCAGCAGCATGAGGAGTCGGTACGGGGGCCCATGGCAGATTACGGGCCTGGCAGCAGCAATGGGAAGCCGTACAGGGACCCATGACACACTCTGGACCTGGCAGCAGCATGAGGAGGCGGTACAGGGGCCCATGACAGATTACGGGCCTGGCAGCAGCATGAGGAGTCGGTATGGGGGCCAATGGCAGATTATGGGCCTGGCTGCAGCAATGGGAGGCCGTACAGGGACCCATGACACACTCTGGACCTGGCAGCAGCATGAGGAGGCGGTACAGGGGCCCATGACAGATTACGGGCCTGGCAGCAGCATGAGGAGTCGGTACGGGGGCCCATGGCAGATTACGGGCCTGGCAACAGCAATGGGAGGCCCGTAATCTGCCAGCACCCTATGACAAAATGGAACCCACCAGCAGTGTGAGGAGACCTGAAAGTGGCACATGGCAGAGTGTGGCGATGGAGACAGCAGCAATGGGAGGCTGTACAGGGACCCATGACACACTCTGGACCTGGCAGCAGCATGAGGAGGCGGTACAGGGGCCCATGACAGATTACGGGCCTGGCAGCAGCATGAGGAGTCGGTACGGGGGCCCATGGCAGATTACCGGCCTGGCAGCAGCAATGGGAGGCCGTACAGGGACCCATGACACACTCTGGACCTGGCAGCAGCATGAGGAGGCGGTACAGGGGCCCATGACAGATTACGGGCCTGGCAGCAGCATGAGGAGTCGGTACGGGGCCCATGGCAGATTACGGGCCTGGCAGCAGCAATGGGAAGCCATACAGGGACCCATGACACACTCCGGACCTGGCAGCAGCATGAGGAGGCGGTAAAGGGGCCCATGACAGATTACGGGCCTGGCAGCAGCATGAGGAGTCGGTACGGGGGGGGCCCATGGCAGATTACGGGCCTGGCAGCAGCAATGGGAGGCCGTACAGGGACCCATGACACACTCTGGACCTGGCAGCAGCATGAGGAGGCAGTACAGGGGCCCATGACAGATTACGGGCCTGGCAGCAGCATGAGGAGTCGGTACGGGGGCCCATGGCAGATTACGGCCTGGCAGCAGCAATGGGAGGCCCGTAATCTGCCAGCACCCTATGACAAAATGGAACCCACCAGCAGTGTGAGGAGACCTGAAAGTGGCACATGGCAGAGTGTGGCGATGGAGACAGCAGCAAAGGGAGGCCGTACAGGGACCCATGACACACTCTGGACCTGGCAGCAGCATGAGGAGGTGGTACAGGGGCCCATGACAGATTACGGGCCTCTCAGCAGCAATGGGAGGCCCGTAATCTGCCAGCACCCTATGACAAAATGGAACCCACCAGCAGTGTGAGGAGACCTGAAAGTGGCACATGGCAGAGTGTGGTGATGGAGACAGCAGCAATGGGAGGCCGTACAGGGACCCATGACAGATTACGGGCCTGGCAGCAGCATGAGGAGGCGGTACAGGGGCCCATGACAGATTAGGGGCCTGGCAGCAGCAATGGGAGGCCCGTAATCTGCCAGCACCCTATGACAAAATGGAACCCACCAGCAGTGTGAGGAGACCTGAAAGTGGCACATGGCAGAGTGTGGCGATGGAGACATGGGCCCCCTGGCCACGCTTGACTTTCTGGCCACATAGTCGACATACAGCTACGTTTACTTCCTCGGGCGGCTTGACGAAAAATTGCCACACCGCCGAGTAGGAAACTTTGCCCCCGCTACTCCTCACTGGCTGACTGCTACTTCCTCCGTGCACACCGGGACCACTACTGGCCGTGGTGGTAGGCTGCAGTGGAGCTGGTGCTCTACTCCGTGGCCGTTTGCCTCCACTGACACTGCTGCGACCCTGCTGCCTCCTGGGCAACCCACCGACTGTTTTGCTCGCTGCCAAGCTGGCACCCTCTTCTCCTGATGATGCGGAAGCAATAGCCTGATGACGACGAGGCTGCCAAGTGCGATCAGCCTCATCATCATCAATTAGGGTCTCCGCCTCACTACTAGCCCCTTCGGCTGCGTGTGGGTCAGGAGACAGACCTGTCTCTAGACCGGCTACCGAGCCACTCTCCTCGCCACTACTTCTTCGCCTGGCTGCTGAAGAGGCGGATGTCTCCCCCCCGTTCCTGACCGCCGCCCTCTGTTAGCTCTTCCTCACTGTACAGTGGGGCTGAGCCCACAGCATGCGATACTTCGTTTGGTGAGGGAACACCAAAGGACAGGGGCAGGTAGAGGACACGTGATTTCAGTGGGCTTGCTCCCGGGCCATGCCAACTTACGGTTGTGTCTGACGTACCCACCGACAGTTGGCTGTAGGTGTCAGAGGTGACCTGGGAAGAGGAAGACGACCGAGCCAACCAATTGATGACGGCAGGGTTGCCGGTGGAGACACGACCGCTGGATGACACCGGGGCAGCACTGGCCTCTGGCTGCGACTAGAGCTGCCTCGACCCCTTCCTCTGCTGTCACGTCTGCTCGCTCCTGAAACATTGCCTCCTCTGCCACTCCTCTGCGTGTTGTCTGACATACTCTTTAATTCAACGATTCTGTGTCCCTCAGAAACAATTCTGTGTCCCTGGAGTAACAATTATGTGTCCCTCAGTAACAATTCTGTGTCCCTGAGTAACATTCTGTGTCTGTCCCTGAGTAACAATTCTGTGTCCCTGAGTAACAATTCTGTGTCCCTGAGTAACAATTCTGTGTCTGTCCCTAAGTAACAATTCTGTGTCCCTCAGTAACAATTCTGTGTCCCTGAGTAACAAATTCTGTGTCTGTCCCTGAGTAACAATTCTGTGTGTGTCCCTCAGTAACAATTCTGTGTCCCTGAGTAACAATTCTGTGTCCCTGAGTAACAATTCTGTGTCCCTGAGTAACAATTCTGTGTCTGTCCCTGAGTAACAATTCTGTGTCCCTGAGTAACAATTCTGTGTCCCTGAGTAACAATTCTGTGTCCCTGAGTAACAATTCTGTGTGTCTGTCCCTGAGTAACAATTCTGTGTCCCTGAGTAACAATTCTGTGTCCTGTCCTGAGTAACAATTCTGTGTCCCTCAGTAACAATTCTGTGTCCTGATGTAGTAACAATTCTGTGTCCCTGAGTAACAATTCTTGTGTGTCCCTCAGTAACAATTCTGTGTCCCTCAGTAACAATTCTGTGTCTGTCCCTGAGTAACAATTCTGTGTCCCTGAGTAACAATTCTGTGTCCTTGAGTAACAATTCTGTGTCCCTCAGTAACAATTCTGTGTCCCTCAGTAACAATTTTGTGTCTGTCCCCGAGTAACAATTCTGTGTCTGTCCCTGAGTAACAATTCTGTGTCCCTGAGTAACAATTCTGTGTCTGTCCCTGAGTAACAATTCTGTGTCCCTGAGTAACAATTCTGTGTCCCTCAGTAACAATTCTGTGTCCCCTCAGTAACAATTCTGTGTCCTTCAGTAACAATTCTGTGTCTGTCCCTGAGTAACAATTCTGTGTCCCTGAGTAACAATTCTGTGTCCCTGAGTAACAATTCTGTGTCCCTGAGTAACGATTCTGTGTCCCTCAGTAACAATTCTGTGTCCCTCAGTAACAATTCTGTGTCCCTCAGTAACAATTCTGTGTCTGTCCCTGATTAACAATTCTGTGTCCCTGAGTAACGATTCTGTGTCCCTGAGTAACGATTCTGTGTCCCTGAGTAACGATTCTGTGTCCCCTCAGTAACGATTCTGTGTCCCTGAGTAACAATTCTGTGTCCCTGAGTAACAATTCTGTGTCCCTGAGTAACAATTCTGTGTCTGTCCCTGAGTAACAATTCTGTGTCCCTGAGTAACAATTCTGTGTCCCTGAGTAACAATTCTGTGTCTGTCCCTGAGTAACAATTCTGTGTCTGTCCCTGAGTAACAATTCTGTGTCCCTGAGTAACAATTCTGTGTCTGTCCCTGAGTAACAATTCTGTGTCCCTCAGTAACAATTCTGTGTCCCTGAGTAACAATTCTGTGTCCCTGAGTAACAATTCTGTGTCTGTCCCTTAGTAACAATTCTGTGTCCCTGAGTAACAATTCTGTGTCCCTGAGTAACAATTCTGTGTCCCCTCCAGTAACAATTCTGTGTCCCTGAGTAACAATTTGTGTCCCTCAGTAACAATTCTGTGTCCCTCAGTAACAATTCTGTGTCTGTCCCTGAGTAACAATTCTGTGTCCCTCAGTAACAATTCTGTGTCCCTCAGTAACAATTCTGTGTCTGTCCCTGAGTAACAATTCTGTGTCTGTCCCTGAGTAACAATTCTGTGTCCCTGAGTAACAATTCTGTGTCCCTGAGTAACAATTCTGTATCCCTGAGTAACAATTCTGTGTCCCTCAGTAACAATTCTGTGTCTGTCCCTGAGTAACAATTCTGTGTCCCTCAGTAACAATTCTGTGTCCCTCAGTAACAATTCTGTGTCTGTCCCTGAGTAACAATTCTGTGTCCCTGAGTAACAATTCTGTGTCCCTGAGTAACAATTCTGTGTCCCTCAGTAACATTCTGTGTCCCTCAGTAACAATTCTGTGTCTGTCCCTGAGTAACAATTCTGTGTCCCTGAGTAACAATTCTGTGTCCCTCAGTAACAATTCTGTGTCCCTCAGTAACAATTCTGTGTCTGTCCCTGAGTAACAATTCTGTGTCCCTGAGTAACAATTCTGTGTCCCTGAGTAACACTTCTGTGTCCCTGAGTAACAATTCTGTGTCCCTGAGTAACAATTCTGTGTCCGTGAGTAACAATTTCTGTGTCCCTCAGTAACAATTCTGTGTCCCTCAGTAACAATTCTGTGTCTGTCCTTGAGTAACAATTCTGTGTCTGTCCCTGAGTAACAATTCTGTGTCTGTCCCTGAGTAACAATTCTGTGTCTGTCCCTGAGTAACAATTCTGTGTCCCTGAGTAACAATTCTGTGTCCCTCAGTAACGATTCTGTGTCCCCTCAGTAAGAATTCTGTGTCCCTGAGTAAAAATTCTGTGTCCCTGAGTAACAATTCTGTCTGTCCCTGAGTAACAATTCTGTGTCCCTGAGTAACAATTCTGTGTCCCTGAGTAACGATTCTGTGTCCCTAAGTAACGATTCTGTGTCCTAAGTAACGATTCTGTGGCCCTAAAGTCTCTCTGGTCCTAACTCTGTCCCTAATACAGACAGGTCTGTCTCTCTTGAATGACCGGAGGCTAATGGAGAATTGTAAGATGGCCGCAATTTATAGCTCCACCATTACACAGTGCTGGCGGGCTGCTGATTGGCTAATGCGATCACATGTCATGAATGAAAGCATTATGGGTCAGTGCGCCTTGTCCTGCGCACCTTCCCAGAGATCCCCGCTGGGAAAATTCGATTCGTGCATCCGAAGTTGGCTAATTTTCGGATTCAGCGCGAATCGAATATTTCCCAATAATATTCGAAACGAATTCCACTTCGCCATGTTCGATTCGCTCATCTCTAATCATAAATATAGTTTAACAATTAAACTACTAAAACATAAAAGGTGATATGATAAAATTTACTTAATAATGGCACGATAAGGTTAACAAAAACTAAATAAGCAGTTAGGAGTTTATTAACA